TGATGTTTTAGGACTTTTGTGCATGTTTGGTTTGGAGCCCCGATAGCTCGGGTAAGTTTCAGATAGGCTACGGAGTACTTTGAACGTAAGAAGCACAACAGTTGCTGCAACCGATCTGCAGACTTCGCATTTGCGAGGTCTGGCTCGCAAATGCGAGCCTTGAATTTTCAAAGAGGCCATCGCATTTGTGAGCAGTGGGCTGGGAGCGAGACCTTCGCATTTGTGAAGTTTTGATCGCATTTGCGATCCTGGCAGTCCGCATTTCCGAACACTAGTTCGCATTTGTGAGGTCAGCATGCTCAATCATTCTTCGCATTTGTGTAGACTTGTTCGCATTTGCGATGCGAACCCCAGGTCGCAAATGTGATACCTGCAACTGATCAAATAGTTAGAAAAACGGGATTTTCACTCATTCTTCAAATTTTCAAAACAAGAGAACCCTAGGAGTGATTTTTCCGGGACTCTTTCTTCCCAAATTATTGGTAAGTGATTCTAACCCATTTTCTTCCAATCTTTCATTACATTTCACAAGTTTTAAACCTAAAATCTAGTATTTTTATGGTGGAAATTTAGGGGTTTGGAGAATTAGGAATTTTTGAGAAATTGGGATTTAGACCTCAAATTGGGGTCGGATTCCAAAATAAATTACATAACCGGGCTCGGGGGTGAATGGGTAATCAGTTTTGGTCTGGATTTCGAATTTGGACCAAGCGGGCCCGAGAGTTGACTTTTGTTGACTTTTTCAATAATGACCTAAATTGAATCTTTTGCAATCGTGGGTGATTCCTAAGGCATATTTTGAATCGTTTGGTTGGTAATTTGCTAGATATTGTTGGTTCGGAGGCTTGCTTGAAAGACAAAGTTATGGTTGAGCTTTGAGTGGTCTTTGGAGCGAGGATATGTTGTGTCTAACCTTTACCTGAAGGAATTAGGAACCCTCGGACTATGTGTTATGTGAATTTCATGTGAGCGGCGTATATGCGAGGTGACGAATGCTTATACGCCGTCGAATTATCTGCTTTCCCTGATTTTTTGCTTTTCCTTAATTATTTCCTTCCCTGTCCAAACTGTTATATGCTCTAAATGCTTTCCATGCTTAACTGCTACTTGTTATTCAATATCTTCTCCCGTTAACGATGTTAGTTCTTCCATAGTTTCATGATTCCCTGCTATTTGCTTAAGTTGATTTACTTGCACCTTCTAATTGTCAATTGCTGGATTGGTCTCGCTGTGTAGTATTACTCGTGTAGATTCCTTTATTGTACAAGTTCCCTTTTGGTTCAGTTGGGTATTCATTGATCGTAAAGGCTTTGTGATTGAACTATTGATTTGATTGTGCTTTGAGTATTTGGTACTTATATGGTGGGATCGGTCTGCATGCCGCAACAGGTGCAATAAGGGTGGATTGATATGGTGAAATAATGGTGAATATTTCTATACGGTGGGATCGGGTTACACGCCGCAACAGGTGGAAATAAAGGTGGATTGATATGGCGAAATAAGGGTAAACTATGATACTGATATTGACATATGGTGGGAGCGGGTTGCGTGCCGCAAAATATTTATATATTATCTCTGTTGTTGATGCTATTACGGTGAAATAAGGGAGGATATTGTATTGTCTGATAGGGTCGGGTTGCGCGCTACAACAACCTATATGTTTCCATTTCTTGAGCTGCGTTGCTTTCCGGTATTTTTATTTGAACTGTTAAAGATTAGTAATCTTGGATGACACTGGGTTATTCTTGAGGTTGTGGTCTTATTCTCAGTTGACTGTTTAATTCTATTCAGTATTTCTATTTGTCTGTCATTATTATATATACTGTGTACAGGTTGTAGTGTAAGTGACCCGCCTTAAGCTCGTCACTACTTCGTCGAGGTTAGCCCCGACACTTATCAATACATGGGGTCGGTACTACACTCTGCATTTCTGTGCAGATTTTGGAGTCAGTCCTAGCGGCGGCTACTAGAGAGCTCGGATCGGATAGTTGCAGAGACTTGAGGTACGGCTGCTCAGCGCTCGCAGCCCCTGTAGTCCCCTTCCCCCTTCTATTTTGCTGTGTATTTTCATTCAGACAACTTTGTATTTATTTCAGACCGTTATATATACTATTCTAGTAGCTCGTGCACTTGTGACACCAGGTTCAGGGATTTTGTAGTAGGTGTTTGACAGCTTTAGCTTCCGTATTCATATTTCAGTTATGTAAGTATTTCTCGTTATTCAATTCAACTGTTAAAAATGAATAATGTATTCTAATGTTGCTTGCCTAGCAAGTGAAATATTAGGCGCCATCATGGTTCCGACGATGGGAATTCCGAATCGTGAAGTAATTATTGAAGAAGAATCTGTGACTGCCATGTTTTAGTTAAACATGCTAATAATGGAACATTTGCCTCACTATTTGGCTATAGCCGGACAAGGATAAGCTAAATACAAGACCATGGTTCACGACAACTGTCCAAGATGATGTTAGTTTACACCACTGCACATTTACAGACGTCAAGTTCTGTCTCATGTTGCATCTTTTTGGCAGAAGGACTTCCTAATCTTAACAATTTGTTTTGCTTAAATTATCACAAATCATTTGGATTTGAAAAACAAAATCCATAAATAACGAAAATATCAATTAAAATTGGAATTCAACTAGAGCTGTCAATATAGGCTTGGTCCATTGGGCCTGTTGGGGTCGAAATAACATGCTGCATGCGGAAACTAATAATACAAAGCTTGGTGGACGATAAATCAGACGACAAAAGAAAAATATACTAAACTAAGCATAATAGTTTATAATGGTTTGGTCAATTGATCTACATATGATAAAACTAATATAAAAGAAGAAAAACTATCAAGAGAAAAATCTCCCCTTAAACAAAACTCTTTAATGACTACATTGTGATATTTTTTTTTTTTTTGTGCTCTTGTGAGAAGCATAGATCCTTAATTTATAGATGTGCAAAACTTGTCTTCCAAGAAAAGGATAAGACATATTAAGGAGATTTAATCCTTTTAGGAGTCTTTTTCCATTCTTTCAAGAAAGAGAGTCCTAATAGATTAGAAATTCAAGGCAAATCCTAACAGGGCCAGCCTAGCTCAGCCCGTGATTTAGCAGGGCTGAGCTAGAATTATTGGAGCCCATTTATGAACGAGGCTTTTAAGCCGGGTGAAATTCAAAAATAGCCAGATTTACAACTGGTCGTTCAAAAATAGTGCAGTTTCAAAAGTAATTGAAATTTAGCCACTTTTATGTAAAGATAAATTTGAGCGAAAACACCTTTCAAAACTCGAAAAATACACCAGTATATTATGCTGGAGTTCCAGCATAAACATACTTGAACTCCAGCATCAACATAAATATACTTGAACTCCAGCATATTATACTGGAGTTCCAGGATAAGTATGCTGGAACTCCAGCATAATATGATGGAGTTCAAGCATAAGTACACTAGAACTCCAGCATAATATACTAGAGTTCCAGCAAGTATATCGGTCCAGCATAATATACTGGAGTTTGGAGCACCGGTGCTCCAGTCTCCAGTATATTATACTGGAGCCAGCAAAGTATACCGGTCCAGCATAATATGCTGGAGTTGATACACATGTGCACCGAACTCCAGTATATTATGCTGGACCGGTTTCTGTTGCAGCAAAATAGTGGCTATTTTCCATTGACTTGGTAAACGCTGGCTATTTTTGGATGACCAGTCCGAAAACTGGCTATACCGTGCTATTTTTACTTTTAAGCCCGATCCGAAAAAGCCCATGGCCCGTGAGGCTTGACTGAGGCTGGGCCGACCCGGCCCGTAGGCCTAATAAAAATATGTATTTAAAATATATAAAATATAAAATTAAAATTATATGACATAAAAAATATCAAGAAGAGTATTCCAAGCTTAAAGTTTATTAAGCTCATCATATTAAAAGATCAAAGTCTTAAAACATTAATTAGTTTTAAAAATTTAATTATTTTAAATATTTAACTAACTAATATTTTATACAAATTGTAGATGTAAGTCAGTGAAGATGTTATGACAACCTTCTCACAAGTGGATTCAAATGTGATTGATGAAGATGATGTGTTGGATATCCCATAAGCGTCATGGACGTTCTCTTAAATAGTTTATTTTGAGTTTTGACTTTTACTGAATGAAATATTGTCTTTCACTTTTTTAGTGTTTATTGTAATATATTGGAACAGTATAAGTATTGGGTCTTCTGAAATTTTTCTAATAATTTTTTTTAGCTTTTAAATATTTATCTTTTTTAAGTTAGAACTTAAAGAAAAATATAAAATTATATTTTAAAAAATAATGGGCCGGCCCGAGGGGGCCTGCAACCCAAATAGGACTGGGGTGGGCTGATCATTATAAGGCCCATCAAAATAGTGGGTTAACGTAGCTCATCCCGTCAATTGCTAAAGCCCACGTGCGCTGGGCTGGGCTAGCCCGACCCCGCCCATATTGGCAGCTCTAAATCTCTAAATTCAACCCATGAGAAATTAATGCTCTTTATAGAACAAACAAAATGTTACTCTATCTCATTTTGTATGGCCACTATTTAGGGCATAATCTTTTTTCCCGGAATAAAATAGTTTAAAATATTTACACTTATAGAGTGTCTTATTGTATTTCTTCTACCCTGAATTATTATTTGGAACGTCATCAAATAAATATTTAACTAACTTTTTATTATAAATAATTATGATAATGACATTTTTGGGAAGGATATGTTCGGCGTTTGAAATTTGGTTTTAACAAAGATTATGAAATTGGTGTTTCACACCAAAAATTAGTTATTGATCCTCGTATTAAGCTTACCAAAATGATCTGACTATATACAGAGATGGCTTCCTCTTTTTCTCTCTGTCTCTACTCGGACAATGATTTTGAAATTAAAAGTGTCTGAGGGGATAATATATATTACTTGGAATCAAAATTAAAAAGTTGGCTTCAAAGTGGGGTAACTTTAGGCATGATTGTCGTTATTCTTTTGGTATATTTCCCTCTTCTCACATTCCCTTAGCAGCCGGCGTGTAGAAAAACTTAGCCCACCATCTGCTCGATATAAAACAAAGTATTTATAATAGTGATTTTTTACGTCAATAATTTTTCTTTTGATTTTAATTTAATGTTAAACTATTTTAATGTCGGTATTTGTTACTATTCAGTAGCTTCTGTTTCTTTCAAGATTAGAAGTGATGTCCAGGCAAAAGCTCTAATTTCTGCAAAAGCAAATCTGAGCTTGGGGCTAAGAGTCTACTGAAGAGAAACCATGGATGAATATTGTCAAGAAAAAGGGCCAAAGGAACCTTTATTAGATCCCAAAGAACCAGTGGTGGCTGTAGAGCATATAAGCTCTGAGCTTGAAAACATATTGTCTGACTCAAGCTTGTCCAATTTCCAGATGCTTGGGCGGGCCTCTGTTATAGAATTGAAAAATCTATTCCGATTAGCAGCGCCATCAATTATTGTTTATTTGCTCAACAATATCACTTCAATGTCTACCCAACTATTCTGTGGTCATCTCGGTAATCTTGAACTTGCTGCTGCTTCCCTTGGCAATGAAGGTATTCAACTCTTGGCTTATGGCATCATGGTAATTTTCTATCACCTAGCCTATTAATTAACATATTTGTATCATGGCACTAGTATAGTTAATTTGCTACAAACTGAATCAACTGCTATTATTCTTTTTTGGAGCGGAGTAGTATTGTTTGTTAGTAATCTGTATTCAAAAATATATATGTTTTAAAAGGAAACAAAGTAAAATTAGAAATATAGAAGAATAAGAAAATTAATCCGACCCCCCACTGAATTCACAGTGTTTCCTTAAGGAACTTAATCCCCTCTCAGTACCCGAGGTTTAGGATTATTTCCTCCTAGGATAGAATGAATTAGCCTCACTGGTGTACCGGTACTTCAAACCCAAGTGACCAACGAACTCAAAGATCGGCAGCAAATCACACTTACTGATGTTTTCTTTCTGTTAAAAAACAATGCAGAATAAAGAAGGAGAAATTAGAATTTTCGTAAGGAAAATCAATTTACCATTACAAAAAATGGTTGATTTGGTTTAAAATAATATTTACGTTAATCTTAATATTAACAAATAAACTTGGTCCACAATTTTAATCAATCAAATCATTTGACCGAAGCCGAGCCGAGCGGCGACGACGGTGCGAGGCTTGCCTTCTTCTCAACTCTTTAAGAGCTAGAAGAAGTGCAATTTCATATATACCAATCAAAACTCTTTTCCCTCCATTTCCCATTCACTCTATTTGAAGCTATTACAAGCTTAAAACGCAACATTATTCTAATCACTTGATTGACTAATTAAGCTTATACACAAGTGTAGTAGAATTACCGTTCCTTGTTGTTAATCGACCTACCATATAAGCAGAGCTGCTTTGGATTGCTAAGTTGCAACTTAATATTAGCATTTGCTGTAATGAAGAACCAATTTTATTGGAGCAGTTAGGTATGGGGAGTGCAGTAGAGACACTATGTGGGCAGGCATATGGAGCTCACAAGTTTGAAAGCCTTGGAATATATCTTCAAAGATCAACTATCCTCTTGATGTTGTCTGGAGTACCGATCATGGTGGCTTACTTATTCTCAAAGCCAATTTTAATTTTTTTAGGAGAATCAGAGAAAGTTGCATCAGCAGCTGCACTATTCGTTTATGGTTTAATTCCTCAAATATTTGCTTATGCTGCCAATTTTCCTATCCAAAAATTCTTGCAAGCCCAAAGTATTGTAAATCCTAGCGCGTATATAGCAGCAGCGACATTAGTCCTCCATCTTTTCCTAACATGGATTGTGCTTTATGTATTTGAGTGGGGATTGTTTGGAGGAGCCTTGGTTCTAAGTATTTCGTGGTGGATAGTAGTCATTGCACAATTTATGTACATATTGTGGAGTGATAAATGCAAGAAAACATGGAGTGGATTTAGTCTGCAAGCATTTTCTGGGCTGTGGGATTTCTTTAAGTTGTCAGCTGCTTCATCTGTGATGTTGTGTTTGGAGGCGTGGTACTTTCAGATTTTGGTTTTACTTGCTGGTTTGCTACCAAATCCTGAAGTGGCATTGGATTCTCTAGCTGTTTGGTGAGTGGGATATCTTGTTGTAAATTAGTTACCTCTGCTTTGTGTTCCATTTGGGTTAATGTGGAGTTGATGATCATAGAATTTGCTTGCAGTAACACAATTCTTGGATGTGTGTTCATGTTATCTGTTGGTTTCAACGCTGCTGCAAGGTTAGCGATGGATTACTGGAATACTAAACACTCTAGAAACACTTTCAATTTCTAAAATGTAGTTAGTAAAGACCTCCACTGTTCAGAATGAATACAAAAATGATAGGCTAAACTAGATTTTTGAAAGTCAGACAAGATTACAAAACTCTGATTTTGTTAAAATTTCAGTGTAAGGGTGAGCAATGAATTGGGAGCTGGACATCCAAAATCAGCTGCATTTTCAGTTGTGGTGGTGACATTAAGCTCGTTCTTGATTGCTGTAGTCATTGCCATAGTAGTGATGTTGCTTCGCGATGTGATGAGTTATGCATTCACCGGCGGTGAAACCATTGCTAAAGCATCCTCAGAACTTGCACCACTCTTGGCTGCCTCTGTAGTTCTCAATGGTATTCAACCTGTTTTATCTGGTGAGTCTTCCATCAACTTTGTATCTTATGATTCTGCTGAAAATCAAGAGAATTAATGGAATAGACTACTAATTGGAATATCTTTAACAATGTTTTGTAATTGGAAATCTCGGTAATTAGGAAACTTTCTTTAATCTTAAAACAATTCAAACAAACAGAACTTGCACACCTTTTGCAAATTTTCAAACAAAGACTGCCTTGAATATTGTTTTACACACAGATGAAGGACAAAGGTATACACACGCCGAAGACTAGCTCTTGTATCTAAATGCGAGTATTCGAAAGAAAAGAGAAATTCAATAAGAACACGCATGTGACTTTTGTTTGCATATGCTAAAAACAGTTTAAGAATTTTGATTTGACAACAACAGGAGTACAGGAAAATAGACATGAAAGACCATGCTATGTATTTTCTTTAGACTATTTAGAACGAGACAAATTAAATAATGGATAGAGAGTTTTAGGAGTGTGAGGGGTATTAGTTGCATTAGTAAAACTTTTCTTTTTATATTCTTTTTGTGCAAAAAGAAAGTACTGATGTAAGTTATAAAATGGAGAATGATTTGTACTTTAGGATTAATGATGCGAACAACTATGAATTTCACTATCAGGGATAATGCAACTAGAAATCGGCATAAATTCATGACTGTTAATTAATGATATGAACATATATTATGTTTGATTGTAGGGGTGGCTGTTGGGTGTGGATGGCAAGGTTTTGTAGCTTACGTTAACGTCGGATGTTACTACGTTGTTGGCATTCCATTGGGTGTTCTTCTTGGTTTCAAATTCAAACTCGGAGCTAAGGTAAGCAAGTTATTATCGCCGTTATTAACCCTTTCTTTCCTTTTATTTTCCTTAATAAGCAGAGGTTTGTTTCTTCGATCAATTTGGTGTAAAACGCTAGCTAAATGCTAGACTGACCAAAAAGCTCGTCTAATCGAATCATTTTGAAATAATGGACAAAGACTATTGAGTTTTAGTAATTTCTTTTGTGATTCAAGCAAGTTTGTTTACTTAATTTGGGTAAAATGTATAGGGACTATGGCTGGGCATGTTTGGAGGAACAGCCATGCAAACTCTAATCTTACTATGGGCCACTTTTCGAACCAATTGGGACGATGAGGTACGTTTTCTCCACCACTAAAATGAGTCGATTCTCATACTTGAAATATACTACTCCCTCCGCTCCAATTTATGTGAACCTGTTTGACTTGGCACGGAGTTTAAGGAAAAATAAAGACTTTTGGAATTTGTGGTCCTAAACAAGTCAAAAAGGGGCCTAGAGTATTTATGTGGTTATAAAAGCTTCTCATTAATGGTAGAATTGTAAGTTTAAGCTAAATTGTTACCAAATTTAGAAAGGGGTCGTTCTTTTTGGAACGACTGAAAAAAAATAGGTTCACATAAACTGGAACAGAGGGAGTACTCATTTATTGAACCGAGATAGACAGTTTAAAAATCGGTTCTGACCACTCTAGCTCGCTTTCTGTTTTCAGGTGGAGAAAGCGAAAAATCGATTAGTTAAGTGGCAAGACAGCAGTAAAACGCCATTGTCGAACGAATCATGAGAACGACCATTTTTGCCTAATTTTTGCATTAGATTTCAAGCATGTCCGTTGGTTTTATTAGTTTAAATGGCATATATATCGTACACTGAGCCACTAATTGCGTCAACCTGTTGAGCCTACTTTCTTCTCTTTTGAAGAATTAAGCCCATTGAAGAAAAGCAAAAAACATAGAAAACCAGTTAAAAATAAAGTTTCACATTCATGTAATACCTATAATCCGATCATACTTATGTGTTTAAGATATACAACTTCCCACATTGGTTGTATAAACGTTTTCAAAGGAGCTAAGTTTTGAGATATATCATCTATTGTATTAATCACATTTTGCACACTTCTTTAAAAAAGTTGGGATACTTGCAAGCCCTTTAGACTAACCAAATTTTAATAATCAGAAGTTGTCATATATCAAACGGAGATTGATTTAACAGGAACAAGCAAACATATAATAGTGGACTAGCTCCGATCAAATATTTCTTTTAAGTACTTAACTTATTGATTTTATCTTTACAAGTGTATCTGTAGGTTAAGCGGAATTAAGGATTGATGCACTCCTACTTTCCCATGACCATAGTATTCTATTAATTAGCACTCAAGGAGCCCGTTTGGACATAATATATAAAGGAGTGATCCCCTATCCACACAATCTAGATAATCACCAAAGAGACAAATTCTAGCTTTAAGCAAAGTATTTATGTTCATATTGGCCCACTTTAATTAGCTACTTAATGCTTTTCTTTACATGTTGTGCTACTTGCTCATTTCTCTTTCACTTAATCTTATGACGTCATAAAGGGATTATACACAGTTATTTTATATGAATTATACATATATAATCTGCAACTATTTTTAACTTAAGAGATTAGTTGGGCGACTATTTGAATTAAGTCTTCCAGTAGGGGAAAGCAATGGAGTGATCCTCGTGAGCCCATTTTACTTGAGAGTAATATGGACTTCAAGTAATAATGTACTTGTGTTTTAATATCGTTATTGTATTTGTTCTTCATTACACCAAACATGTCTAGGGGCTTTTGCATCTATACCTGGTTTTGGGGTCACAATTGAACCTATACCCACTTTGCAAAAAGGTTTGCAAGCGTACCCACTTTACGATCAACTTCAAACTTATGGGTCTGAATTTATAAAAAAATGCCTGAAGTGAAAAAATTGCACTACAAATGCACTTAAGGCCAAATAGGTCTGAAGTGCAACCAATGGTTTCATGCACTTAAGACTAATAAGTCTGAAGTGAAAAATTGCACTTCAGATGCACTTAAAGGCCAATAAGTTTGAAGTAAAATTGCACTTCAGATGCACTTAAGGCCAAAAAGTCTGAAGTGCAACAAAAGTTTTCATTCACTTAAGGCCAATAAGTCTAAAGTGAAAATTTGCACTTCAGATGCACTAAAGGCCAAATTGGTCTGAAGTATAACCAATAGTTTCATGCACTTAATGCCAATAAGTCTAAAGTGAAAAATTGCACTTCAGATGCACTTAAGGCCAAAAGGTCTGAAGTGCAACAAATGTTTTGCTACACTTAAGGCCAATAAGTAGGGGTGTTCATGGTTCGGTTTGGGCCGGTTTTTCTCTAAAAAGAAACCAAACCAAGTAAGTCAGTTTTTCAGATATTGGAACCAAACCAAACCAATTAAGTCGGTTTTCTATCGATTCAGTTTTTGTCGGCTTTTCGGTTTTTCCGGTTATTTATCGGTTTTTTTCTTAAATATGAGACATACACTACCAAAAGCATATTCCGGCGACTACATTTTCAACGTAACACTATCAAATCAATTGCTCTTTGAGAAATCTATCATTTACCAAGATATATTGATGATAATTGAATTAAATAGTGATGAATAATTTAAGTACTCAATTAAAAATCGATTATTTTTATCATGAAATATATTCTTGTACTTGCAAAAAAAACTACCAATCAAACTAGAATGTAAAGGCAAAGAATTAGATTATTATAATAGCAAAGAACTATACTAAAAATACAAATGACTAATATGTACGATAAAATTTTAGAAATTTTATATAAAAATATGTATATGTAGGTGTAATAATAATTTTAAATAGCTCTTAACTTTTTACCCCTTAGGTTCGGGTTTTGGGTTCCCTTAGTTTTTTCCCGGTTTACCCTTTTTTTAAACGTTAAAAACCCTAAAACCGAAACTACCTTAAACTTTAGGAATTCGGGGTTTTAAAACTTACCTAAAAAAACCGGAAAACCCCAAAAAACCTTAAACCGGTTAAAAACGTTAGTAACGGGTTTTTTAGGTTAACCCGGTTTAAGGTTTACGGTTTACTTTAGGTTTTTGGGTTTTACTACGTAAACTACCCCGCCCAAATAAAGTTTGTAAAGTGAAAAATTGCACTCAGATGCACTTAAGGCCAAAAAGTCGGAAGTGCAACAAACATNTTTTATCTTCTTCAACCTTTTCACCTGTGGGATACACCATGTTCAAGTAACGAAATTTGGGTTTTCAAAATCTTTGACATGGTTGCTGTAATAGGAAAGATACTGACTTTATAAACGTATCCAAAGAGTGATGTGCGGATTTTGTTGAGCAAGCGAAAGCATCTTAAACCCTAGGGTTTAACAGAATAATTTAGAAGGCCTAAAAATAAATTCGAAATGAGATTTTAGTCGTTTTGGATTTGTGAAAACAGAAAACAATGCATCTACAATCAGAATACAAATAATCTATAATTTATCTACAAAATATCTACAAATTGGGTATATTGAATTTTAATATCCCAATTCCCATTCGATTGTAGTTTAATTGGGATTTTCGACATAATTGCGTTTTTTGCAGAAGATTTGTAGAAGTTTTAGTCGTTTTTGATTTGTGAAAACAGAAAACAAAGCATCTACAATTAGAATACAAATAATCTACAATTTATCTACAAAATATTTACAAACTGGGTACATTGAATTTTTATATCACAATTCCCATTCAATTTGTAGCATAATTGTGATTTTTGACATAATTGCGTTTTTTCAGAAGATTTGTAGAAGTTTTAGCCGTTTTTTATTTGTGAAAACAGAAAATAAAGTATCTACAATCAGAATACAAATAATCTACAATTTATCTACAATTTCTGCAATATGTCTTCTTCTTCTTCTTCTTCTTCTTCTTCTTCTTCTTCGAGTTTCAATCTGAAATTCAGTCAAAACCAAGTCTAATCTTCACTAAAACCCCTCAAAATTGAGATATAAACTCCAAACCATATTCCCGATTATTTTTAACAACACCCAATCCAAACAAATAATGATTTTTGAAAACTCAAATTTGAATTCAAAGCTTTCAAGCTTTTTAATGGCTGTCAATGGTGGAAAATATCTGGAAGAATATTTACTTCCATAATTGTAGCGCGCCTAAATAAGAATATCTGAAAGAATATTTAGTTCCAGATTTGTAGCGCGCTTAATTAGGAAGGAATCAGCTCCTAATAATTGGTATTTAATGAATGGTATATATTTTGTAGAATAACTGTGAACATGGCGGGTAAATATGAAACTATGCACATTTTTGGTAATAAGGTTTCATATATGGTATAGGAAGGAAAAAGTGACCTTGCTTGTCTCAGGGTAGAATTTCAAGGTCAAAAATTTATGGTGTTATCCACGGGATAAGCGAGGGATAATACTTGTTAAATTTGAAGTTTTACCCATGAGACAAACAAAGACAAAAATTCAAGACCATCCACTCTGCGAGAATTCCCAATTCTAGGTAGAAATGACAGCAGGTAGCCATTCTAAAGGGCTGGTATTTTAGGAACTAGCCAGGGCATCCTGAATTTTAGTTTTTCAGTTTATTTTTTTGCGACAACAATGTCCTGAATTGTCCCGAAATTAAGATTCTTAGTTTAAAATTTCAGGACAAAATAAGTAGGGGTGTTCATGGTTCGGTTTGGGTCGGTTTTTTCCTAAAAAGAAACCAAACCAAGTAAGTCGGTTTTTCAAATATTGGAACCAAACCAAACCAATTAAGTCGGTTTTTTATCGATTCGATTTTTGTCGGTTTTTTCGGTTATTTATCAGTTTTTTTCTTAAATATGAGACATACACTACCAAACGCATATTCCGGCGACTACATTTTCAACGTAACACTATCAGATCAATTGCTCTTTGAGAAATCTATCATTTACCAAGATATATTGATGATAATTAAATTAAATAGTGATGAATAATTTAAGTACTCAATTAAATATCGATTATTTTTATCATGAAATAAATTCTTGTACTTGCAAAAGAAACTACCAATCAAACTAGAATGTAAAGGCAAAGAATTAGATTATTATTGTAATAGCAAAGAACTAGACTAAAAATACAAATGATTAATATGTACGATAAAATTTTAGAAATTTTATATAAAAATATGTATATGTAGGTGTAATAATAATTTTAAATAGCTACTTTTATAGTCGGTTTGGTTCATTTTTTTCGGTTATTTTTTTAATTAAAACCAAAACCAAATCAAATTTGATCGGGTTTTAAAATTCAAAACCAAAACCAAACCAAACCTAAAAAGTATCGGTTTTTGGTCGGTTTGGTTCGATTTGGTTTTTGGTTTTTATGAACACCCCCGCCAATAAGTTTGAAGTGAAAATTGCACTCAGATGCACTTAAGGCCAAAAAGTCGGAAGTGCAACAAACGTTTTTATTCACTTCAGGCCAATAAGTCTAAAGTGAAAATTGCCCAGAAACGAAAATTTGTTCTTCGAATTATAACAATCCAATATACGATTTAATACCTAAATCTACTCCAAAGGAGCTCAAATTTGAAACATAGCCTCCAAATGTCATCAGGAACAAACCCCAATCATCAATTTGTCAAAACAACAATAAATCTAATGAACCCATTTTGCAATTAAGAAAAATAAGAAGAATAAACCCTAAGCAATAGTAAAAATAAAACGTCATAACAACTCACCATTGTAAAACATCATAAACTACATTAAAATATATTCACAACCATCATATGAAATCATTGTCACCCGAAGAAGAAGGAGGAGGAGAAAGAGGCCTGAAGTTTAAAAATTGGATATAGGTTAAAACTTTTTTAAAAAGTGGGTATAGGTTAAACGGGGGCGACCAAGTAAGGCGCCACGTGCAATTTTTACACATATCTATTGCCATATACATACAAGCAAACATTCGGCCCAAGCATAAGGCAGGCTGGGAATTTCTAGCGCAAGAGCATTATGATACTTTTTTCCATTGTGGCATTCATGATATATTTGTGGAGAAGTTTGACATATTCCAGTTCTGTTTTAGAAAATTAAAAGAAATGAGAGATGTGGGAATAGAGAG